ACTCGCGCGCCAAAAGAAATTCCGTTGCTTGTTGCTCAAACGTCGCTGAGAGAAGGGGCTGTCCGCCTCGAGGACAGATGTTTTGTATGTTGAGCTGTGTAGTGATCCTACTGTGTGTGTGTGAATGCGGCTGCTTCCAGTAGTGTAATACATTTGTATGTGTTGTGTGGGTGTTCCACTGTTTCCAGGTGTGGGGTGTGCCAGTGTTGTCTTGTGAGTGGTGTGTTGTTTTAATTCAATCTGATTCTTTCATTTTACAGTATATAAATCGAAAGTTAATGACCTTATCGGTATTAAAAATTTTACAAATACAGTTATTTCACGTCTAAAAATTGTCGAAATCTAACCAAAACTTTTTTAGCACTCAGGTACCGAATGTATAGATGTACCATATATGGTACCGAATATATAGACCCCAGTGTCCAAGACTGACTTTTTACCGAAAATATCGGCTAATATATATTTCCCGATTCGGAGAGAATCGTTTTATGATAACATCATACCCTTGTATCATAAATGTGTAGAATCGAGTGAATACTTTCCTTAGCCACGTAGGTATACTTTATATGAAGATTTTCAAACATCCGGTTGACTTTATACCTTATAAATTGATTAATCTGTGAAGGATCATAAAAAAAATAGAGACCGTATTTTTCTCGTAATGATATGTTATAATGCCAAAAATTTATATAATTAGGCCAGTACTATGCGTAGCTCCCATAAACCTAATATAAAAATTTCAAACTTCCGGTTGGCCTTACGCCATATATATATGGTGTACCGGTATGAAGTGAGCGTTAAGATACAAATGTGTTGGTAGGGGACATTTGTTGTGAACGAGCCTTAATTTTTTTCTGTTTAGTTGGCATGACATCTCTTAAACATATTTAGTAACCTTACAGTCATTGAACAAGCAACATCATAATTTTTCATTGTGTTGGAAATGTAAAGTTTTGTACCGGAAAGTGATGATTTGCGAAAAGCATTCATTTTATGTTTCCATTTGAAGGAAAGTGCTGCAGAGTCGCATCGAATGCTTGTCGAGGCATATGGTGATCATGCTCTATCAGAAGAAACATGCAAAAGCTGGTTTCAAAGGTTCAGGGATAATGATTTTGAAAACCACCAATAAAGTTTGACGACGCCGAACTGCAAGCAATATTGTATGAAGATGATATAGCAAATGAAAGCTATGTTGAATGTTGCTCAATAAACAATTTTGGACCGTTTGAAAGCTATAGGAAAAATACGAAAGTGTGGAAAATAGAGGCGACATGAATTGAATGAAAGACAAATGGAAAACCGGAAAAAATACTTGTGAAATTTTGCTTCAAAGGCACAAAAGAAAATCAGTTTTCCATCGAATTGTCACTGGCGATGAAAAATCTATTTATTTTAAAAATCCTGAACCGAGAAATACATGGGTTAGTCCGGGACAACCATCAATTTCGACTGCAAAAACAGATCGATTCGGTAAGAAGGCAATGCTCTGTGTTTGGTGGGATCAAAAGAGTGTGGTATATCATGAGCTTCTAAAACTTGGTGAAACTGGTAATACTAATCGCTACAGACAACAAGTAATCAATTTTAACCATGCATTGATCGAAAAACGACCAGAATGAACCAGAAGACACGGCAAAGTAATTTTATTACACGACATTGCTCCTGCACACAAAGCAAAATCGGTTCAGCGTACAATCAAAGTACTGGGCTTGGAGCTGCTACCCCACCCGCCATATTCACCAGACTTGACACCTTCCGATTGCCATTTGTCAATGGTCAATACTTTGAATAATTTTTTTTTTACTCTCCCATTCAAAATTAATATTTCATTTTCACACCGGTACACCTGGTATATCAGTCAATGTTGATGTAAGATATCTTAGCAAAATGAGTGCACGTATAATATTTGATATACTAAAGCGAAAATGTGGAAAATCAGTTCACAAATTTCCCCCGCTCACATATTTTTGTTATTCCAGCAGCCTGTGGAATCAATGTAATTGGCCTATCTCTGGTTGATGTTTTCCTCATATGCCCAATATATAAATTCTGTTCCTTGGTTTAATTTATATCACATATATCTCATATGAATGAATATGTTATCTTAAATATAAATACCACGGACACGAAACAAAAAGTAGTAATATACGTTAATAATATACCAAATATGATTATAATCCATTCACGGTTATATCGAATAGTGAATGTTTAATTTTTACACAACATTAAATAAAAAAGTTTTGCAACATCTGAAAAAATTTCCCCGCCATTGATCTTTCCAAATTGCAAGAGTATAGAATGTTCGGTTACACCCGAACTTGGCGTTTCCTTACTTGCTTTAATTGTAGTTGTTCTAAAATCATGGTCATTGTCATGAATACAGTAAGTATATCCATAAAATAATTCACAACGAGTTATCAGGCAAGTTTTCATATAACAATATTCGAATTGTTTAGCGGATAGATAAATGATTTAAACAAAATTTGTCAAAAGTTATGCCCATAGTGGCAACATAGAAATCAGTTGTTATCTTTTGTTTCCATTTCACCAATGTTGCCATTACTCAATTTGTATATGTAGCGACTAGCATCACTCCTAATTGTAATAGATCTACATATGTAAACAACTATTTTTAATATTGTTTTTAATTTTTTCTGGTTACACCAAATGCAGCAACTAAAATAAGATCACCTATATTCCATTCTAACTTGTAAAAGTTAAAATTCTTCTTAAAAACTTAAAATTTTTTGAATGTAATTAATAATAAAATTAATTGCATTATGTTACATCTCCTTATTCCTTCTTCTCGATTGATCATCCAACGTGATAAGACGTGTTCTAGCGGAAGTTAAATTTATTTATTTAAATAAAATATAAGTAACGAGTTGAACGTGGTTTTATTATTTACCCCTCAACGCCTATATATACATAATTTTGCACACATTTAGGTTTTTAGTTATAATTTTTCAAAATGTAAATACTCAAAACTAAAATCCAAATATTTAAAATAGTTTACCTTTTGAGTAAGTTTAAGAATATTTACTCAAGTTTATTTTTTAATTACTACAAAATATTGAGACTGACTGGCAACCCTGCGTTGCAAGAGAACAATCAGCTCACTAGTTTCTACGGGAAAAATCCAATTTTCGCGGATATCCTACCGTACCAAGGATGAAATGATGCGAAACTCTTTGATTCGAGAGAGAGCTGTCAAAACCCTGTCGAAAGAAAATGGATTAGGAATTATAAAAAAAATTTTTTGGGTATTTTGCATTTCGATATTATTTTTAGGTGCTCCGTTTCCGAGTAGGCCTGTATAACGCATATATATCCCTAAATATGTGTATTCATATTATAAAATTTTTAAAACATCATATAACATAAAAAAATAGCATATAAATAAAAAAATTATAACAAAGAAACAATACAAGTCATAATAATATATCATGGTTTTATGATGAACATTTTAAATTAAATTAGCAAATAAAATTCAGTTGCACGTTATTCAAAAGTATTTGTGTCGTTCCTTGAAATTTCGTTTCGCACTGCTTTTGTTAGCTATTTTTAGCGGGTTTATTTCTGGCATCCCGCCTTTTTTGACATCAGCTGTACGAAATTCCCTGATTTTAATAATCAGGGAAAGAGAATAACAGAATAATCAGCGAAAATGAGAGAGTCTCGCATCATGTCATCTTTGACCGTACAGTCTGTAGAAGCGGACGGTAGAAGCCCCGATGAGTGTTTATTAACATTGCGCTCTCATGGTATAGGTCGTATCAGCTGTCCCCGTCTACGGGTTTGCGTCGATAATTGTTTGAAGTATAAGACTTTGAATAAAAATTAAAATTTTTTTATCGTTATTAAGCATAGCTTCGAAATTAAAACAGATGAAATAAATTATATGCACAAATGTAAGTAACATCTCTCTTTGTTTTTCAATATGTAAAACCTATATTTAATTAAGGAAATTATGCAGATAACATATTTATATTTATATATTGCTGTAAGAAAACAATGTTAATTTTTTTTCTAAACAAGTAGCAGTAGTAAAATGGTGTCAAGGCTTTTGTTCGCTCATATTTATAATATTAGCTGTCATTGATTCGCCAAGCGTTGGAGAGTAGCGAATCGAACAAACTATACCAGATGCTCAAATAAATGAGCAGCACTTGTGGCTCTAAAATGTCGTCTGACGCATGCGCCATAGTGTTATGATTCTTTCTTAGTGGTGAAATTATTTTTTTCGCGTTAAAATCGTTGTAGTAACCCGTTTTGATTTTAAGTTTTAAAAATCAAGCAAAATATAAATTTGTATATTCATTTGCTAATTGTACCATTCACAATAGTAAAACTGACCTAAAATATGCAATTTGGTTAATGCAAAACAAAACGTGGTGGCATTGAAGATAGCGGTATACCCCTTTAACACATTGGCTGCCATGTCACACTTTTTCGGACGACACACGAAACTTCATGGGGTGTCGTGTCGCAAGAAATTGTGCGGTTGTGTGGGTTTTTCGCCATTCAACGTTGTTATGGTTGTCAACGCGACATGAATTTGATAATGTTTTCTGGGTGCGCTATATATGCACAAAATTTGGAACAATTTTAAAGGCACTACGACGATTTTTACAGGTTTTACTTGTATGATAAAAACTATGAGGCCAAATGGATTTAAGAAAAAACGTACTTGGCACCTGGTGAAGGATTTCGTCAAAACCGCTTGGCAGCCCATGCGTTAATGAGGTATTCGCATACAGTTTTGCACGAATTCAACTCGAACTTTGTTGTAGCTTTTACATGTAATTTTTTAGACAAAAGAGCAGAAGCGAACAGAGAATCGGCGAATCGATGACTGCTTTAATATACTTAGTAAATAAAACTAATACTTTTAAATAAGGTTTTCCAAATTGTTGATCAATAATTCAATTGACATTTCAATTTAAAAATTTATAATTACTTTATTTCGAATAATTATAATTGCTCTCTACCTTCAGATCTCCCTCGGAACGTTCTGGAAAAGGTTGCTGTGGTCAATGGTTTCCCGGACCACCACTACGTTCATTGATTGCTGTGGTGGCACTAGGCGGAATTGCTTGCGCCTTGAGCGGAGCAGCGTTAGGAGCGACAAGTCTTGCCGGACCTCCGTCTTCGCACCTTACAGCTGCACTTCTCATGATAGGTATGTATTTACTTACATACATACATAGAAATTCAAAAGAGAGTCGTTGGTCTCTTAAATTTTAAATATGTATGAGATATATACATATACATACATATGTATGTATATAAACAAGTACGGAAGGGCTAAGAACACCTATATTATGCAAAGGAAGCAATGCTCACTTAATTTCATTAAAATATCACATACATGTATTGACCAACATAAAAGGTTTTAAGCAATTTTATGAAGACATATTCAATGCATAATGAATTCATTATATATAATATTTGGCAGCTGGGGTAGTTGGTGAACCGATTTACCACATTTACGGCATTAAACTATAGTAAAGCCATTTTAATAAATTGGCCTAATTTCGCTTGGATGTCTACACATTGGCCAATATATGGTATACGGTATGAATGCAACCGAATGTTATGAAATCTTTACTCCATTTTACACATTTTTGACACAAAGACACATTATTATCAGCAAATCATTATCTTAAAATTTCAATGATATATACATATCTCATAAACGTTGTTCCAGTAGTTCCTAAGGTATAGGCTTTCGCCTAAAAGTGTTGCTTGTGATATATCTACTTCCAACCTATTATTTTTCACAACTTTTATACCATAGATGCTTCACCCTGCTACGATTTCCTTTCACTCGAATTAAACTCGTTTCTTCACTCTGATCATTAATATAACTTTATCAACGCTGAACAGGTACGCAATAAACAAAATTGCTATATTGGGAATGCCTACAATTTTTGGTTCTCCCGTCAATAACAATCACCAATGTAAGTACGAAATACCAAATTCAAAACTTATTCTGATTAAAACATAAAGTGATTCTTAAACCTAAACTTTGGTAACACAATCAGATCAATTGCCTACGTAGCTCATACGATTTTATTCGTTTTATTGCACAAGACGCATTCGCGATGAAACTGTTACCGAAATTGTGTTCAAACACTACATGCTTTGCTTTCACCAAAATGAAACATCTGCATGTCTGTTTAAAATAGGCACATATACAAAATCATATTTTGAACAAGTAAGGAAGGGCTAAGTTCGGATGTAACCGAACATTTTATACTCTCGCAAAGTCAAATGGTATACTCGTTTGAGATTTATTTGTGGATTGACTGATATTTTCGGTAGAAGGTCAACTATAGGCACTGGGGTCCACATATTTAGTACTTAGGGGTTTGAACAGTTTTGGTTCGATTTAGAAAATTTTTGGTCACAAGGTGGCATACTTTAAACGTATTATTCACGCAAAGTTTTACGCCGATATAATCATTGTTGCTTGATTTGCATAGTGGAAAGTGAAAGAATCAAGTGGTATTTAAAATGGTGTCATATGGAAAATAGGCGTGGTTGTAATCCGATTTCGCCCATTTTCGCACTATGACACAGAAACATGAAAAGAACGTTACGCACCGAATTTGGTTGAAATCGGTTAAGCAGATCTCAAGATATGGGTTTTCACCTAAAAGTGGGCTGTGCCACGCCCACTGTCTAATTTTGAACGCGGTTCCTATAAAGTCATCTTATACCATCTCAGAGATAAAATTTAATGTCTCTGGCGTGTTTAGTGCTTGATTTATCGCGCTTTTAGTAGTTTTAACAGTACCGTTATATGGGGAGTGGGCGGAGTTGCCACCCGATTTCAACTATTTTCACACTGTCAATAGAAGTGCTAAAAACATTTGCTTCCAGTGAATTTTGTTATTATAGCATTAGCGGTTTAGGAGATATGCACATTAAACCTATTAGAGGCGGGACCACGCCCACTTTTTAAAAAAAAGTTTTAACTGCAGATGCCCCTCCCTAATGTGATCCTGTGTACCAAATAACAGTCTTGTATCTTATTGCGGAGCTTAGTTATGGCAAGTTATTTGTTTTTGATTAATGGCGTTTTGTGGGCGTGGCAGTGGTCCGATTACGCCCATCTGCAATACCAACCGTCTCACGGTACCAAGAAACATGTCTACCAAGTTTCATAAAGATATCTCAATTTTTACTCAAGTTAGAGCTTGCACGGACGGACGGACAGACGGACGGACGGACAGACAGTCACCCGGATTTCAACTCGTCTCTTCATCCTGATCATTTATATATATATAACCCTATATCTAACTCGATTAGTTTTAGGTGATACAAACAACCGTTAGGTGAACAAAACTATTATACTCTGTAGCAACAGGTTGCGAGAGTATAATAATCCATTTGGAAAAGCACCAAAACATACTTTAACATGTTAGTTCATTTAGGGTACACTGAATAAAGACGACTATACTGTACTACTATTTTATGTCACCATGTCAGCTTAATCCAGCGATCCACCATGTCAGCGATCCAGCAAACGTAATTCAAGGCAGTAATGTGGTAATTAGCTAAAAATGTCCGCATATTTTGCTTGAATTAGATTCATACACCCATTTGTACTTAAAGTATATTTTGATATGACAACCACAAAAGCTTTGTGCCATACTTTTTGGCGTATCTTTTATGTCTTATAGCTTCGTCGTCATCTCTAAGCGGAACGATCAAGTACATCGTATAACATCTCATTTACGTTTTGTGACTTTACTATATATAGGCATCAATTACTTAAATCTTGGCAATTATACTCGTATTGACCGTGTGTAATTTTATCCGGCCAGTTTGGTCATTCGCGATAATGTGTAGAAAAGAGAAAGCTCGTTAGATGACGCAACCTCAAAACTTAATTGGTAGCGTCTGTGCTTTTATAGTTACGTGTTATAATTACTTCATTACAAGTACATAATATGTAAAAGCAAATAACCTAATGGCTTACTGTTGTGTGATTATTATATTCAATTATGAAAGAGATATTCAGTGAATACGCGGTGATAATAAGCTTTACACGAATATACCGTTTTTTAATGGTATATGTAGTATGTATTTTTTAGCCGTACAGACTATTTGGTAGAAGTGCCATACTTTTATATCACATTCAAACGCTAACCTTTTAGCCAAGCTTAGCTTTATTTGCTAAATTTAGAGAATGAAAACTTATTATTTACTCACAAGGATAAATTCGCATTGTGAAGATGATAGAAATGTTTGAGAAGTTTATGCACAACAACTAATGTAGAATTGGAATTATGAAGTGGGGTACGCTTTTTATAAAACTTTTAGAATGGAAACGGGATCTAATTAAAAGTGAATGTTCATTACGTCCATATATATATGTGAGAAATGATGTTAATCGATCTGTCTTACTTGTTTATATCTCTTAATCTGTACTGCTTTACCAGCTTTGTAGTACTTATACATATATAATGCAATATTTAAATTTTTTAACTTTTAGGTGTAGGGGTTGTCCTAGTGACTGTGAGCGGTGTAGCATGGCGAATGACGGCACCGGGTGGACCACCATGTCTGGGTTTGGGTTCAGCAGTTGACTTTGTCCGTTGTGGCAGACGACCATGCGGTCGTGGAGGAGGTACTGCGCATGGTTTACTTTATCCAGAGTTTCAGCATCGCCCACCACCACCTTCCTATCAGGCCAGTATGCAAGAATATAGACTGAGGTAAGACTAATTTATGTTCAAGCATTTGAAGTTTTGGTGAATACGTGTAAATTTTCCCGCATAATTGGTTATAAATATGTGTTATTGAAAAAATATACCATTAATTTCCCCCGGTTAATTGCACAAAGTACTTTTTAAAAAAATAATATCTGGCATTAGCAATTGAAAACATATGTTTTTCACGTAAATTAAACAATATACAAAAAACAAAAGACTTCTTCAATTGATATTTTAAAAATATATATATATACATACCTAAATACGTAAATGCAAGTGCTGCATACTTGTATATAATAAAACAATAATGTGAATTGTTTTGTTTTTGTTCCTTAAGTTTATTTTTTTTATAACAAGGATCTCTAATTGCCTTGCCTTGTTTTTGTTTCTTCTTATATTTTTTCCGTTTAAAGTTAAAATAATGATTTCAATATTATTACTAAGAGCTAAATAAACACTTAAAGTCCACATATGACTTTTTAAAGGATTATTTTGTCCAATTAAGTGGCAGCAATCCCGCTGAACGAATTGTTCAATTAAACGAGTATCAGTTAATTGTTTCCCCGGTTAATTGATCCAATAAATTGACAATTTCTGAAGTGCAATTATCCGGGGGATACTGTATCTTAAGTATTTACTGATTTAGATAGATTTAATTTTGATCACCTAACGGTTGTATATTTTGATAAAATTTGTACTTTTGTAGACTAAAATATATAATGCAATGATCCCAGTCACCACTTTAACTGATTGCGATTAAATGTATACTTGAAAATATTTAACATAGTTTCCAAATATAGCTAATGTTTAGTATTATTATTATACACATGATTATTTTAGTTAAACAAATATTGCCTTTCTGAACATTGAATCATATTAATCGATGCTGTCATCGATACTGGCATATTGACGGACCCCTCAAAAAACACATTAGTTTTTATATAACAACTTTTCTGAATCCATTGTTAGCACTAAAGACACACTGTTCATACAGGACAACGGCTTTCAAGACTGCAATTTAGTATGATTTCTTCCGTAAAGTAAAATAAGAGAAGATATAATTTTGTTCGAGAGTCTCCAATATTGCGCAATGCAATGGGCGACACCAAAAGAGAAATTCCTGATAACGAGCAACGAAACTTTCCGCAAATAAACCCATGCTTATGGATCGAATAGAGATACCATATAAGAATAAATAGTTTTATTTGCAATATAAGCATATTTTATATATCCTTTCAGACTCTTACTGTTGGATCGTGACAGGCAAAGTGATATTCGAGGCACTTCCCCGCCACCAACATATCGCTCATATACCGGCAGCTTAATAAGGTAATATTGAAACGACTGTTATCAAATATCTAAAATAAATGAATAATTTCGGCAACAATCTTTGTACGTATTTATAAATATGTGAGAGTTTTTAATGACATAAATATATGTATATACTTGGTTAATAGCCAAAGTTCCCTTCAGAGATATTTAAGCCTAAATTAAAATTATACCAGACTACCAATGAGATGGTGAAAACCCAACATGTCAATATAAAGTTGTCTATATAATGTTAATTAACACTTTGACTAAAATAGCACCTACAATCGTTAGATTTAGCAATGGAGAGACTTTACTGTAGAGGTGCAGACAGAAGACTGTATACTTCTGATTGCATATTTTTGATATACATTGTGACCAGAAAGTTTCCTGAAGTTGTCATTTAAACTGCCCTCGCTGAAAATTTTTCAGCACTTTTCTTTTGTTAAGTTAATAGCACTGTCCTTAATTACTATGCCAAAAATGAGCGCGATCTGTCAACCAGTTTGATTGCAGCAACTGTTGAAATCAGTCGACCACAGTAGTGTTTCTCGTTTAATTTTGACCGATAATTTGGACATGAGACGCGTCAATGCCCCTCTTGTTCCAAAAGAGCTGAATTTTTTGCAAAAAGACCGTACCGAGCTGTAGTTGTGACCGATTTTAAGACCAAAAACTCGTTCATTACCATCGATCAAGCTCAAGTTACCACCCCGTGGAACCCGTTTCGACTCGATTGAGACCGAAAAAGAAAATTCGCGGAACTGAAGGCGATCCCGGACAGCGCCTACAAGGCATGTTTCGATGATTGGAAAAGAGGTAGCATATGTGTATAGCTTCAGAAGCAACATATTTTGAAGGCGATAAAATAAATACTGACGAAGATTAAAACTTTTCGTTTTATTTACAATTTTTCTTTCTGGTCACAATATATGTACATATATAGGTACTTTTGATTTTCCTGTATTCGCACATTCTGTAGTGGCTCTCACACAGAGTGCTATAAAAATATGATGGTTTAGAAATATATCCAGCAAAATAACAATAACTAGCCTGTTTTTTTTTTAAATTCACTTTTTCTTGAGATGGACCTCCAGAAAAGCAGCATAATTTGAACTGAAATCCTCCCGTGAGTACTATTTTGGTCTCAATTTTAATTACACATACGCATTGAGTTCATATTAAATTATAATTATCAATACATTTCCCTTTTTTCTTTATTAATTTTTATACAATATATTAAATTAGTTTTTAGGGTTATTTGCTAATTTTGTTTAAAAATCTACACAAGCAGCAGCCAATATGTGCGCAGCAGTGAAGCACTACCACACTACCTTACATGAAATCGGGAGCCACTGGGCCCAGCGAAGGTAGCTATGACGTCACTAAAGTGATACTGGTATGAAAATTATGAGTATAAGTATGGCAGATCGTTTTGTTAGTTATTACCTCGTGGCAGACGTTTTGAAAATTAAACAAAATTGTAAATGTATTTTAACAAATCTTATTTTTAGATATATTATTTTCAATACTTTTATTATCTTATTTTTTAAACGGTAGACGTTTTCTCCGGTTGCAACAGTCCGGCAGACCACAATATATGACTTACGGTGTAAGTATGGTATATGTTACAACTACAATTAATAGGTTTAATGTGTCATAACTCAATAAATGAAAGTGTCAGACACACTTAATTATGAACTCAAGATGATATAAAAAAGCTTTATAGAAGCCGGTATCAATATTGGAAAACGGGCGTGGCACTCCCCATATTTAGGTGAAAACCCATATCTCGGAACCTGCTCCACCAAAACCAACCAAATACGGTGCATAATATTATCTTGTCATTCCTATGTTACAGTGTGAAAATCGGACTACTAATGAAATTTATAGAGTGTGTTTCTCTTTGTGAATATCTCAAGAAACTTTCGACCGATAGTTGCGATTGTTTTCTTGCAAAAAGTCTTGCATTCGCATAGAAAATGTTTTACCGTCTCCTCCTTTTCTACCTCCTGACAGCTTCTACAATAGTCATTGTATGGTGCACCTAGTCTGTTTTCATGTCTGCCAATTAGACAAGTACCTGTTAGCACCCCTATTAGAGTTCTTATGTCATTCCTTTTGAAATATAATTGTCGGCATCTGCGGCCCATGTCCCTCGCACTCCTTGTCAAAACAACAAGACTTTTTTTGATTGCTGTGACCTCCGCTTTGAAGACACTGCAGCAGTCTGGTAAATGGAAGGCGATTTTGGTATCTAATTTGGCTGAAAAGACACCATCTCCCACTCGATTATCTAGTTTGGACCCATCTGTACAGTTGCTTATCCCTGTAATCCTGACCACTTCATCCTTTTCCCACTCCTCTCTGGAAGGGTACCCGTAGTAATAAGTAGAAATAGAAACTTACTTCGGAGCTAGTTTCTTACAGAACGAGTCTGTTGGCAGTAAATGTAAAATGGCGTTTAGTCCTGACTTGGCGTTGTTCTAAGAGCTCCACTGATGCAAATACTAGCTGCTCTTTTTATGCTTTCAATATGCCTTACAGCGTATTTCTTTTCCATTATTGGCCACCAATATACCAAAAAACTTTAGTTGACTTTACTCCATATATATTGGTGATGGTATGTGAGGTACCTTAATGAAACTCAGATAGCATCTCTTTCTGTTAATATGTAGTAATCCCAAAAACAGATAAAATCGGTCCAATTCTACCTCTATCTCCCATATACCTAATATAAGATTTTCAAAGTTCCGGTTGGCGGTATATACATATAAGCCAATAGCATAATTAACTGAGCGAATTGGATGTACTATAATTTAAGGGTGTTTCTATTGTGAAATAATAAACCGCTTTTTATTATTCAGCAAAATTTCGACTTGAAATCTGTTAAATTACGAAAGTTATTATTAAGTGAAGCGGTGTCAAGCGCGTTGGTCCGTCGCGGTCTAGCGTAAACCCGTTTTTCTCAAAACCTCCTTATTAGAGTTGGTGAAAGTCTTACAGGGCGCAAAAATTGAGCAATTAACATGAAATTTTAGACATGTTCATCAGAAGTTTGTACAAAAATATTGAAAATAGTTCATTTAAAAAAGTAATTAGCAACAAAAAAGAGCCAAAAATCTAATTTCTTTCGAAAGCTTGCATTGTTGCATTTTCTACTTCGTTATAGTACCATGGATACGAAAAAGTGTACAGATTAAGAAAGCATTTCACATTATATTTACTGATCCTAGAAGTTCCACTATGATTATGAGTTGTTTGATACCTCCCTTCACTGATTTCACTTAGATCACCAAAAAAAAAAAAAAATTTTGTAAAGCTTCAGTAAAGTTTTTCCGACAAGTGTTAGAAAATGTCATAATTTTACCTATTATGCTACATTATGCTTTTTCACTTAAAAAATGGGTTGTCCCATATTTGGATGCTTAGTGGAACCGGCGAATCATTCACAAAAAGCTTAATTATATTAATAAGAATGTCAAGATAATGCTATGCACCGAATTTGGTTCTATTTAGTGGAGCAGGTCCCGAGATATGGGTTTTCACCTAAATATGGACAGTGCCACACCCATTTTCCAGTATTGATACCGGCTCCTATAAAGCGTTTTTTATAACATCTTGAGTTTAAAGTTGAGTGTGTCGCTTTCATTTATTGAATTCTGATCAAGTTTGGTTGTTTAGCTTAAGTGGTTTAGAAGCTATCTGCATTAAACCTATTAATTGTAGTTGTAACATATACCATGCTTATGTAAGTAATATATTGTCGTCTGCCGGACTGTTACAGCCGGAGAAAACGTCTGCCATTTCAAGAATAAGCTAATAAAGTATAAGTAATAAATAATATATCTAAAAATCAGATTTGTTAAAATACGCTTGAAATTTTGTTTTTATGTTCATAACGAGGTAATAACCAATAAAATGGTCTGCCATTAATTTTGCACGATGCATTCATTGTACTCTTCAATATGACCAAACGGCAGCATTGTTAAAATACTTTCGAAACTCTCACAATTTTCGTACCTGTATCACCTTAGTGACGTCATAGCTACCTTCGCTGGGCTCAGTGGCTCCCGATTTCATGTAAGGTTGGAATAGGAGAATCTTTAAGAAAAATATCATCTTTGGTAAAATACATACTGTCTGCTATTAAGTGGCTATTAGACTAATACACTTCATCATCAAAGACCAGTGTTTATCGATGGTTAGATGAAATCAATCGGGGTCGTAGATCACTCTAAGACAAATTTCGTGAAGGTCGTCCAAAATCAATTGTTGTTCCGGAAAATATTGATGCTATGCGCAAACTAATATTGCAAGATCGTCATGTGACTTATAGTGAGATAGAGACAACTGCCATACATGTATTAGTGGGACCAGCATACATTCAATATTGCATGAACGTTTGACCTTAAAAAAAGACTGTTGGATCCCACACACTTTGTCAATAGCTCAAAAAATGATCGTGTCGATTGGAAATGTTCAAAAAATACGATAGTGGTGCTTCAAAACACGTCTATGAAATCATGACAATTGATGAATCATCGATCTTCTATGGGTATGAGCCCGAAAGTAAACAGCAGTCGACTGTATGGATAGCTCAAGATGAGCCGAATCCAACAAAAGTTGTTCGCGCACGAAGCAATTCCAAACAAATAGTTCCCTGTCTTTTTTAGAACAACTGGATTTGTCGCAACCATACCACTAGAACAACGCAGAACAGTAAATTCTGAGCGGTACACAATTTGTCTTTCCAGAAATCAGAAAAACCTACGGCCGAAGACGGATCACTCTTCACCACGACAATGCAAGCTTTCACACAGCGACTATAACAACTGCATTTTTGAGCACTCATAACATTGATTTGATGAGTTATCCACCATATAGTCCTGATTTGGCACCGAACGGCTTCTTCTTATTCCCGTACGTAAAAGATAAACTAAAAGGTTAACGTTTTTTGACACGTGGAGGTGGTTGAAGCGTTCAGAACGCCTCAATCAGAGTGGCAAAAGTGCTTCGACAATTGGTTCAAACGCATTCAAAAGTGTATAGATGTTAAAAAAAAAATTTTCAATTTCAAGAATGTTTGCGTGGTTCGAAAAACAGAAAATTATGTCATGAAAAATAGATATATCGATCAAATCAATGTCAAGACTTGTTGGAGAGGTAAACTGCCATGAAAGTATTATTTTTACAGTTGAAGTAATTTTAACTGTTGAAGAAGTTTTTAATAAGCAAAACGACAAAGTCCACGTAAAAACTTCCAAAACTGCTGTAATGGTTTGGTGGGGATTCACCTGTCAATGGGTTGAAGAGCAAGGTAAAAACTATCAAGCAATGGCTTAAAAGTAACATTATGAAATCAGGATGCGGATGTTTGGCCGCTTGGAAGTCTAGATTAGAATCCATTGAACTACAGTTTGTGATCAGAATTGGAAATTATAGCCTGTCGAAAAATATTTTTACTTGTGAATAGTTGTGAAATTAATTTTCATTATCAAACCAGAACCAAGATACTTTATGAATGATAATTACCACTTTGATCGCATAATGACTTCTAATTAGAAAAGTTTGTTTATCCATGTAAATCCTTTCTCTTATCTATAATTATATACTTGCCTGCTCATAAGCGAGAACAATGCATTACTGGCCACAGAGAAGAAGGAAACATATGATCGAATTATTACCGAGAATACGATAAATATTTAAGCACGTTATTCGACTGACTGAATTTTAATTGCACATACAGATACATTTATTTACAACCTATAACAGAATATCTTTTTGGATTTATTATATTTATATATTGTATATAATATTTTGGAAGATTTTCTGTAAGGAAGTATTGGAATAAAGTGGAATTTAAAAACTAAAACTCACTTTAAATAATCTTTTATAATAAAATAAACTTATTTATCTTTCGCTTGTTGTTCTTGGCACATAGTGGCAGTGCTGGGGAGCACAAACTTTCTGATCTGAACTATTCGTTAGATAGGACAGTTCAAGGGTCTAGAACGTGCTTTTTTAAATGTCGAAAAATTATGTCGATTGACCACTTGAGCTACAATAATTACGGCAAACTTGTATTTAGATACCTTCTATAGGCGATAACTACATACATACGACAAGTTAACAACAGAGAAGTTAAATTTAACCGCAAGACTGACACAGCAGGCCTTTCGTAGACTTTTTCACAAACTTATCAGTGGGCATGGCGCACACCATTTTTAAATGAGATTTCATATTTCAGCATACATACTTTTTTTATTTGAACCAAATTTTGGCACAATTCTTAGTTCAAGTTGTCAGTTTGAAATAATCCAATTTGACTTTCTAATATATTATATATCTAATACATTCAAAAAATTTTAAGCACAAATAAAAATTCGCATGGAAATAAATATGGTTAAGATCGGGAAAACGACTTAGAACTTTCCTCCCCTCGTATACCCAACATAATGATTTTGTCAAAACTAGATGAAATCTTTTCATTGGTTCCCTGATTCGTCATAAACCCAATGTAATAAATTTAGTCTTTGGAGTGCAAAACCAGTCAATATCAACACAAGCGAAAATATTTCGGACATTAAGCAAAATATAGAACTGAATCTTAGTGAGGACATGAACAATTTGTTATCTAATAATTATTAATAATACTGTAATTACAATGTTGCTATTTTTATATTCTCGCAACATGTTGCTACGGAGTATAATAGTTTTGCTTTTTGATTAGTTTAACTGAATGCATACACTTCATTTCTTCTGTCTAAAAACCTCAAATATTTCTTCCAGAGCACCACTGACAACAACAATTAGAAGTGCCGGCCCGACCAGCAGCATTGCTGGTACTTCCGAATTTAGTTTCCCGTCAAGCTATAGATCACGGAACGCTACTCCAGCTACGATATGCAGTGAACGCAGCATTGACACTTCCACATCGGACCGTTCGCTGTCCAGCGTAGACATTCCAGAACCGACTACTACGCAACAATTGGACAGCAACAGATGCAACTCAACACATTTAACCTTATCAGAACCCAGCAGGAGTGCATGTGGGGTATCCCAAAACACTGAACAGCCTACTCATTCACAAACTCGTCAGTTGTGGACCTCAGCGATTGTGGAAATAGAGACCTCGAATAGCCATGACGGCCAAAACTATAACAAACATTTTCAAGAAGCAAATAAAGTGGAAAATGCAAAGGCTGCAAGCTCAAAGGCACAGAAAGAGCAGATTACAATTATCACGATATCTAAAAGTGATGGTTGCTCACAAAGTGACTCATATAGTAGAGACCATATCGAAATATTGGCGCATTTGTAAAAAACTAATTAGCATGTTGAGTAACATACTTTCTTGGTTAAGGATATAGTTATAAATATAGAGGTTGTTTTGTATTTGCAGCATCTGGTTACAATTTAAGAAATTTGTAAAACATGTTTTGCATTTTTGAAATTATTTCACAAAAATGATACCTGTAATTTACATTTTTCCATATATGTAAATATAATATGTTATTTCGTAGTACTACTTGACTACGAAAGATTTACTTTCCATTTCCTTATGAAATGGGTTGTTCAAGTATTTTTATTTATACAATACATAGTATATTATATTATATTATATTATATTATATTACTAAATCTAAATTTTGTGTAATTATAAATGTTGATACTTCAATTAAATCGAAAAGTGCTACTGTTTAAGGTTTGTTCTGAAACATATATTTGTTTTTTTTTCATCTGTATGAAGTCTGTATTTATGACACATATCCTAGGATCAAATTTGACCATACTGACTGGTCCTTACAAAATGCGCGCGCAAACCGAATCAATAAAAAAATTTTTCCTAGATTGGTATAACCTTATTTATGTTCATGTCAAATTTGATCTCCATTTGTCAATTTGTATGTGTTTGGCAGCTGTTTGTTTACGAGGAAAAAGTCAAGGGCGAATGCGGTAACTATGCAATGACTCTCGTTTAGTGTTTGGTCAGTCACAATCAGGGTTGCAAATACTACTTATATATGTGATATAAGTTTAACCTAAGAGGCAAAATTTAATATATTTAGATAATGTGGAAAAAGTCAACTAGAGGATAGGAATTCATAATATTAGGGATATGATGTTTATACCAAAGTTTACACCAAATCCTTACATATTTAGCGCTAAAACAGAAACATAATTTTATAATTTTTAAGAAAAATAGTCCACTTAATTTCATCAAAGTATCACACATTTGGACCACCTAAACGGCTTATAGTCAGCTGGAAAGTTTAAAATCACTATACAGGGTATATTGGGGGCAGAGAAAGGCTAAGCTTGTTGCATTAAAATTTGAAATTGTTAAGGTATATTCTAGAACATATTTTTAAGCATATATATAAATAAATAACTCACACACTGACCGACGTATTCGGCATACGGTTTGTAAAAATAACAGAAATCATTTTATGTAGTTATGTTGTATATGGAAATTGGATATTTCGTATACTAAATTCACATTTTTCGGCGTATATATATGTATATCCAATATTATACGTTCAGTTAAATTTTCTAACGATATCGTACACATTGTACAAAACCAAGCGGAAGCTTGAAAAACTTATATTAGGTATTTTGGAGATAGGGGTAGTAATTACCCAATTTTATCTATTTTTGGCATTACTGCTAACGAAAAAAATGTTCTGTAAGTTTCGTTCAGATACCTTACATACCATCAACAATATATAAGGAGTAAATTCAACCAGATATTTAAAAATCCTGATATTAGTTATATGGGGGCTAAGGCAAGTTTTCATCCGCTTTTATCCATTTTAGGCACACAGATGCACCGTTATTTAAAAAACACGCCCAATCCATTTTATTAAGACAATTTACATATTGCCTATTAGGTATATGGGGTATAATATTATCAGGAACGGATTCTCTCCGAATTCCAATTATATATCTCATATATTGAACGGATAGTTTCGGTAAAAGGTCAACCATCGACTCTGGGGTCCACCTCTTCGGTATATGGGGGGTTGACGTGTTATGATCCGATTTTTACAATTTTTAAACTTATATAGCATATCTTGAAGGCAATATTTTTGCAAAGTTTTATTCCGATATATTCCTTAGTGCTTGATTTGTATACTGGAAAGTAAAAAAATCAGATGGAATTTAAGTTTGTGTTATATGGGAAGTAGGCATGATCGTAATCCGATTTCGCCGAATTTTACACTGTAACACAGACATGTCAGAATAATATTACATACCAAATAAAATCGGTTAAGTAGATTCCGAGATATGGGTTTTCACCCAAAGCTGAGTGGGTGCCACCCACATTGTCCAATTTTTGTATTGGCTGCAATAAAGCTTCATTGTACTATACTATGTGTAAAATTTAAAGTCTCTGACTTGTTTATTCATTCAGTTATCGCCCTTTTACGAGCTTTAATCAAAACCGTTATATAGGGAGTGGGCGGGGTTATCACACGATGTCACTCATTGCACACTGTCGGTAGCGGCGCTAAAAAGATTTGTCCTAAGTGAATTTAGATATTATAGATTTAATGGTTTAGGTGGTTTGGCGTTTTATGGGCGTGGCAGTGATCCGATTACGCCTATCGACAAACTTCTTATGGTGCCAAGGAACATGTGTACTAATTTTCATTAAGATATTTTGATTTTTACTCAAGTTATCGCCTCGTCATCCTGATCATTTATATATACACTTATAACCCTATATATATCTCGATAAGTTTTAGGTGAAACAACCAACCGTTAGGTGAACAAAACTATGATACTCGGTAGCAACATGTTACAAGAGTATGCAAGTTTAATCCCAAATACCGGATCCCACAAACCGGATTAACATTTATTTTTAATTTTTAATCTCAAATACTGGACTCTTTTAATGTTTTGAAATTCGGTATTATCGATATCAACTCAATCCGTCAAAAATGTCAGTTGAATAGTTGTCAAACTTTTTTGTGGTATTGCGGTAAGTATATGAAGAACTACAATACAATGCTTCGTATCAGTTGTGTCCATAGTCGTGCAGTTTATTTTGGAAAAATATTAATGTAATATGGACCGCAAAAAAATAAACTAGTCTAAATAATATTGAACTATATTTAATCAGTTATTTTGTACAAATAAATATAAAACAACAAGAAAAAAAATTGAAATTTCTTGAGTTCGTGAATAAAAATCCGAAAACTGGACGAGGCAAGCCGCAGCTTGGAAGCAATAGAAATATATTAAGGGACTATGAGAAGTGTTGCGAGGAGTTTAAGTCCACTGTGCACAAAAATGGTGTTGATTAACATTTAAAAGTTTTTAGTAGGGTCCTCAATTTGTTTGCGTTTCCCTCAAAACTCACGCTTCCAAACTATTTCTATACATAATTTAAGAGGAAACGCTGAAGAATATTAAACATTTTTTTAATATTTTTCATTTTAAAATAGCAAATTAATCGAATATCAGATTTTAAAATTTTAAAGCGTATTCCACACAACACACGTTTTAAAAGTCTACTGAACCGATCGTTTTGAAATTTTTAATATATATATATATATATTTCTATACATAATTTACAAGGTAACGCTGGATAGTTTTTTCGAATTAATATATATTTTTTATTTTACAATAATATTTCAATCAAATTTTTTTCGCAAAAAACGCGTTTTTTGCCTATGTTCCCAAATAGTAAACAATTTTAATTTCATCTTCATTTAAATTTTTTCCGAAACGCTCTAAAGTAACTGCTGCCATTGCCGAATTGAAAATACGCTTTTTAGACGCACGCTAGCCTGACCTTGCATAGATCAACAATTGCCGAACTCACTATCCAATCAAATAATTCAATTAACTCACATTCCTCTGGAAAATTTTTGAAGGCAAAGCATTTAAGATTTATTTGAAATTGTTTGATTTCTCGTCAGCTTATGCAAAACTATAGCGAACATAAAACAATCAAGGGTGTTGTGAAATTCAAGAGAGAGTAGTTGTCAGAATTGCAAACCAATTCTGATTTTGAATGGTGTCACAGAATCTGATTGGAGTTGCGTGTTTTCGAACATATGCAAAACCAATATTCGAATCAGCTGTCTACTGATGTGACAAAACTTTCAAATGAATAAATTAGGAAGCGTTTTATACATTTGAAATGCTGAATGAAGTCTACTAAAGTTTACAATGAGTTCCGCTATTTAGCTTTTATTTTATTTGAAGAAAAAAAGCAACAAAAAAACTAAAAGGAATATATTCAAAGATTACAGTAATATACTTCATGCACCAGGGGAGTCGCATGTGAAATTTGGCTTGCATTTACTTGCATGTTTGTATACATGCTTACTTTACAGATTTATATCACATTATCGACTGAATAAAGACGCATTTGGGCGATTAAGTTGACACCGAAAAAAAGATTATGTGTAATGTCCAGTCACTGCATCGAGGTAACGTAGCGAAAAAACAAGGTAAATGCGTTGAATCGTTGTTTCATCGAAAAGTGTATACGCAAAAAGTTGATGTGGCGCTAAGGCCCGTAGACGATAAGCGAGTGATGATGTGAGAGCGATGATCCCGTCCCTTTTGTTAGATGTACAGGTGCCGTGTTATGGTGTGTTTTCATCGAGTGGTGAGAACCTGTGATTGTTCTCTGGTGTGGTGTGTTGCATTAGGGTGCGCCAGTTGTTACCGGAGAGAGTGGTGGTACTGAGGCTTAGCTCATTTAAACATCCTGGGCCCCCTAGGCGAATATTTTGCCTAGTATTACACATATGTGCTGTTGAATGTATTTCGGCGTACTATTGATGGAGTAGCCGAGGCGTGAATATTAGCTGTAAGAAGCAATTTTGGTTTTAATCAACTTATCAAGAACAAGTGGTTTTGCTTGCGATTTGTATTGTGGTATAGACTTGAGATACGCAACTATATTCTGACAATTTTTTTGGTTTTATAGTTGGCAATACAATAAGGAGTGATTGTATTTACGATTTTTTTCTTGTATCGATTTTTTATGCCGATTGTTTATGATTTGCCTTTTCTGTATTATCAGCAATTATTTGCAATCTCTTTATTATCGGCTTATGAGGATAGCGACTCCACGCCTGGCTCAGATATGGCCAGAATGGGTGCTTCTTTCAAACTTTTGAAGAGGGATCTGGCGAGAGTGAGATTCGTGAGTTTCGCTCACTTTTTTGAACTGAGACTTACAACTTTTACAAGTGTTTCCCCATAAACTACCCGTTTGATGAGCGCTTAGATAGTTGCGATAAGTGCGACCTTTGCTTTTTGTAAGTCTGGGTGCGTCACTGTATCACATTGTAAATATGGTGATCCCTTAACTTTATTTTTGAAGTTTTATAGATTATGAAAATGTTGTCAACTATCAGGCACTATAGTAAGAGAGGTGTCGATTTTTGACAATCTTTGGACAATTTTGTTATATGTTATGTTAAGTGCGTTTTTGGCAAGTAGTAGCGCGCCACATAACTCAAGATTTTTGAAGCAGGATTTTTGTATCATTATTGGCAGAAGCCATCCTGCGGGGTCGAAAAGTTACATATTTGTGTTTTTAAACCTCATCTTGTCAGAAGGGACTCTAACTTGGTTTTTTCTGCCAATTAGTGGAGTGTTGGAACATTGGGAGTTTAGTGGTAGTCGTATGACGTACCGGCCATTATTTGATCGAGTAGTTGTGGCTTTGTGGAAGTCTTCACAATACTGA